GTAGCTTACTGATGCTTCTAAGGTAAGGACCAAGGACCTCAAAGCGTATTGTGTAAAATAAAAGATGTATGTAAAATGTGTAAAAGAGCAAATTTTTCCATTATTTACAGTATAGTGCTAACTGCCCTATTTTCTGTAAACACAACTGTGCCTTTATTCTTCAATCAGTCTTTCAAAGAACAGACTCTTTGTGAAAATAAAAAATAAGAACAATGTAATATCCAAAGGAATACAAAAAAAGAAACGTCCACTTCAAAATCCCAGGATTGCACAACCAAGAACCATTTCTTCTCTGACTTGCAGAACTCAAGTTTGAGACTTGGATTCGTATTCAATCACATGTGGCTTGGAGATAACTTCAAGTCATTTTCATTTTCTTTTACATAACATATTCTACCTCTTTTGATGTAAAAGAAGATTGTAGCTGAGAAGCCTTCCTTGCAGCAGGACTGGGGCAAAACAGCCATACAACACACAGGTGGAGACTGACTTGGGAAAAACAGAACTATGGCTGCAACTCTTCCTACAATTGCAGCATAAGGTTTTAATACTGTAATGTTATTCTTTTTAAATTTTGTAAGAAAAACACTGAGGAACAATGGGGATGAAAAAACTTTAACATAATAAAAAAACATTAATTTTTCTTGTTAATTGCTTTTACTGGTTAGAAGGAAAAGTATTATGAAAAATGTGTCACTTTGTTATAGAATTTATGTAAGAATCACAGCATGCCAGCTGCTCTCACCACTGATTACAGTTTAATCACTCCTCCTAGTGAAGGACAAAGTGCCCAATAGCCAACTTACAGTACAGTGCCGTTGAATAGTGAGACAGCAAAGTCAAAACAGCTATTTATGCTTTGAAGTGAAATCATTTCTATTTATGATCATGAGATTGACATGGATGGCAAGTACAATATATTACACATTTTTGCGTAATTGCACGCATATATTTGATGATATTAGAACAGGAACATTCTTGGAATGTTCCGACTTCCAATTTTTTCCATGTAAAATGCATGCTCAATTGGATTTAAATATAAAGACCGAGTGCCTCCACTCTTTCTTCCACTCTTCTTCTCATAAAGAAGGACATGGTTATATTGATTGTATGTTTTGGGCCACATTAATGCTGTATGGTGAAGCACCACCCAATGGGCAGGAAAATAGTATTGACTGGCATTGCAACCTCTATCATACTTCAGAACTTGCTCAGACATACAAAGATACTAAGAAAGTTCTGGAACAAGAATTTATGGACAGATGAATGCAATGAATGCAAGATAGACCTATACTAAAGTGATGGAGTGATTAAATTGTGGAGAAAGAAAGGAACTGCAGATGGTCAAAAGACTAACTACCACTTTTGTAAAGCACAGCCTACGCCAACACCTTTGCAACTGGCTCACGTGTCTCTTTGGACGATGTAACTAATGAAGGCAACAGCTGCTGTTTCGGCTTCTGTAAAAGAATATTCTTCCATACTCTTTAGGACAGGGCTTCACCATGCAGCATAAAATGTCCCAACTATTACTGTTGTTGTTGTATTTTATCATTTATTATGTTACACGTAATCAAGAGTTAAGAGTATCAAGAGTATAAAGTTAAAAAAAAGGGAAAACAACACATTTACCTGAGAAGAGACAAACTTTCATAGCTATCTTGCGATTTGTGAGTCCTTTGCTAGAAAGGACACACTTGCTAGTACTGTTCATATAATTTAAATCTGAGGGGCTCGTGACTGAAAACATTGGGCTTAAATACAAGTCTGCTACTTACGTCTTCCAAGTCTTCTTCAGGAGTAGCTGGAGTTCTGTCTGTTCTGTCTGTGGTGTAAGATGTCAAAGAGGAGGTCTCAGAGTCCACAGATTCTTCATCAAATCCAAAATATGTCTCCACAACATGCCTCTGAGGATACAAAGCCCCGACACAGTCATTGAATTACACCAGCAAAAACACTCCTTTACACATTTTATGTTATCACAACAAAGTACACTTCCAAACGCTTTAGGACTTTCTACCACTACTTTCTGGTGCAGAACAACACAATCCCATCAAAGCATCAAAAATACGGACAGATAACTAGAACTGTGGTATTAACTGGTATCTACAGTTGTACTGTATTAGTTACACAATTAATACAATTTCCTTTCACTTGATTAAAATGAACAGAAGATAAATACAGATATGCTTATCAGGGCCAGATTGTACAAAGAACACAAGACATGATAATACAGGCAGAGCCTACCCAGTCATTAAGTCAGTTAATTAAGATCCCCCCTATCTTGGGTTGACTGCGTCACTGCCTTTGAGGATTTTTAATACTTGAATCGGGTGTACTCATAGCTTTAAAAATAAATAAATCATTAAAAGCCATCAAAGCCTAAAATAAAAGTTATTTTCACCAGTCAATGTACTGTAGGACAGTGATGTGGTGATAAGACTGTAGCGGCAATGCTTGTTAATAAGACAGAATTAAGTGTTGTGGGCTTTCCCATATGAGGCCCCATCTCTGTTCATCTCTGTGGTGCAGCCATGGAGAAACTACTCATGCAGGCTGATTTAA